GTGTTAGCTATTACTATTTATTATAAGTAAGGAAGTATAATTTTATAAGCCATTTGAAATTCAGAATATTAGGTATCTCAGAGCCACTTATTCCAAAAATACTGTCATCTCAGGGTGTTGCTCAGTATGGGGCCACACATTTCCATGACCCAGTCATAAAACTGCAGGGGACTAAGTGTCCAGACCCTGCTTCTTCTAAATATCCTCTGCACTATGAATAGTTACAAATGAAAATATGAAGACAATTTTCAACCTTAGTAACTTCTTTTATCCTATTATACAATGAATCTGATTTACTAAGCTTACAGCACAGACCCATGAGTGATAGGTCCTTGTGATTAATAACAACAGCAGCAATAGCTATGTGTAAGGAACTGTACAAAGGGCTTTATGTGCATTCTCTTATTTAATACCATAAAAACTCTATAAGATAGGAATTATCACTATCCCCATTTTCCATATGAGGAAACTGAGGCCCAGAGAGGTTAAGGAACTTTCCCAGGTTCACACAACCAGTGAATGGCACAGTCAGGACTTGAACCCAGACTCTCTGGAATCCTAGTCTTCAGTGGGGTTGTCTTAGGGTGTATCTATCATTTCTGACCCAATTACTTTGGATACAGGAGACTTGATATTATGACTGGCAGAGCCTGGGTCACATAAGCTCCATGCAAATCACACAGATTGGAAATGTTCAGGACTAAATCATGGTGTCTGGATTCAAAGATAGAAAGAATCAGCCAGCAAAGGAAGCAATAAAATAAGGGCTCCTGGAGGATGCCCCAGTGCCCTGCCTGTCTTGTAGCTCATAGAGGCTGGCCTAAAGCCTAGAACCATTGACAGTCCTTGCAGAATGGGCTCTTTCCAGGCAGAGGAGCATGGAATTATGGGCCTGCATTCTTTATATCTTCAGTCTTATCAACACGTGGAAATGACTTAAGACAATAATTGTGCCACATCACCAGACCCAATAACCATGTTCTGGGCCTTGACATTCTTTTTGTGCTGGCATTGGACCATTTCCCCTTATTTTTAGGGCCTACGAATTTTCCCTTTATGTATACTTAGTGGCATTCTACGGGCCTGGTTATGGCCTATCACTGTAAGAGTTGGTATCCAAGGGAAAATCAAGATATTACTACCAGAAGAAAAGGATCTGGCAAAAACAAGGTGACAGATACAGGTAAAGTATAATATAATAACTGCAGTTACAAATGTTGTTACCCTGGTCAACATTTGTGTAGAACTGATTCAAAGTGATGCCATGGTAACCCAGCTAGAGCATAGCAAAGTTCAGGCAGGAAGTCCTGGCTACTTGTCCTACTTTCTTTCCACTACACAAACCTTTAAATTTGTCTAGAACTGGAGACTCTCCCAAGACACAGAACTTTCAGTGCAGAAAGTGGATAAGCCCTGGACAAACTGGGGTGAATTGAGCACCCTGCTATTAATCCCTATGTAATTGTTTCATTTTTATTACCTTCCTCCTGAATTCATTATTTTTAATACATTTCATTCTCCAATTGCCCACACACCAGTGAATATTCTTTTTTTTAAGTTTATTTATTTATTTATTTAGAGAGAGAGACAGCACAAGTAGAGGAGGGGCAGAGAGAGAGGGGGAGAGAGAGAGAATTCTAAGCAGGCTTTGCACTGTCAGCACAGAGCCCAATGTGGGGCTTGAACTCACAAACTATCAGACCATGACCTGAGCCAAAACCAAGAGTCGGATGCTTAATGGACTGAGCCACCCAGGCACCCCACCAGTGAATATTCTTAATCAGGTTTCAACCACAGGATTGGTTGACTCCATGACTCAGTTAACGAAAGAGCCTGTGGGTCCTCGATACTTCTAATTATTTTTAGGAAATTTTTAAAAAGGGAAATATTAAAATACAATATAAATTTTTCTTTGCAATACATATAGTGTAATAGTTGGTAAACTAGGAAGCAGAAGGCTCCCTTATAAAAGTTAGTCACTAATAACTTTTCAAATCACATGAAGAGAAGCCAGAGTTACCTTCTTGAATTAAAGGGAGAATTCAAATCTTAAATCTTTAAAAATCATACACACACACAAAAATGCCAGTGGGTGGTGGGGAGGAATTCAGAAGCTGATCCAAGCAGAAGTGGCTTGAACACTCAGCTTGCCCAAGGACAGAAAGCCTGGGAATCTCTCCCAATAGCCTCTCCCAAGAAACACTCGCAAGCTGTCACTCTGGAGTGCAGGATGCAAGCAGGGGACATCACGAGGGCCTGAGCTCCCAGGGTAGGAGGCTTTGTCACGCTGCAAGTGAGTATATTTTCTGCCGCAAGTAATTGAACACCTGACTGAGACTGGCTTGAATCATAAGAAAATATATTACCTCACAAAACTGGAGTGCAGAGGTAGAACAGAGTCCACATATGGCTGATTTGGAAGTGCAACAATCAGGGCCACATTATGACTTTCATGGTCCCTGGGCACTTTTGCCTTTATGGGCCCCTTCCTCCATTAAAAAAAAAAATTATAGTTCATGACTGCAATAGAATTAAGACAAATTAATCCTGGCTGTATGACATTTATTTTTTCCTCTGACTTCATAAGAAAATAAAACATTGTGGAGAATCCCTAAAAGTATCATGGGTCCTAAGATCAGTCAGCCCTATGAAGAATCCATAAAGTATCTAGGTTCTGTTCGTGGTTGGCCACCCACATCATGTAACACCTTCGTGGACAGGCTGGCTTGCCTCCAGGAGATAACATGGCTGTCATTGGCAACTCAGGCAAAGGGCTCCATTGTTCCCGTCCACTGTGAGCTTTGAAGGCCTTTCCCCTAACTATGAAAAGGAAATACTTCCTTCTAGTTTTTATTCATTTGAAGTGGGACAAGTTTGGCACTTGCTTTTAAAGTTAAACATATTTTAGCATATAACCTAGTACTTCCTCTCCTGAATACCTTAAAGAAAGGAAAACATATGGCCACACAAAAAATGTCTGCATGAGTGTCCATGACAGCTTTATTCATAAACAACCCAAAATCTAGCAACAAGTGAACAGATAAACAAGTCAGGGTATAGCCACACACTAGAATACTATGCAGCAATAAAAAGGAATGAACATCTGGATGCATCTCAAAAGCATGCTAAGTGAAGGAAGTCAGACACAAAAGAGTACATATTCTAGGATCCGTTTATATGAACTTCTGCGGAGGAAAAAAAAAAAAAACTCCAGGTAGACCAATTAGGAGGCTGTCATAATAATCCAGGTGGAAGATGATGCATGCTCAGACCAGGATGTTAAGAAGTGATGAAAAGTGGTCTGATTCTGGATATATTTTGAAGACAGAGCCAAGGGAATTTTCTAAAGAATTGAATACAAGGTGTGTGAGAAAAAGAGAAATCAAGGATGACCCATGATCTTGGACCTGAGCAAACTGGAAATTGGTATTAACTGGGATGGTAAAACAGGTGGATAGAGCAGGTTGGGAGAGAGGGTGAGACCCAGCAGACTTGCTAAGTTTGAAATGCCCACTAGGTGAGATGAAGATAACAATGTCAGCAGTTGGATATTCCGGCAGGAAGAGTTCCAGGCTGGAGATAGAAATTTGGGAGGTTCAACCCACTTTTTCTGGGGAGAGAGCAGAGGATAGATAGAATTTTAAAAAATAATAATAACAGGAGAAAATGTCTGGGTAGATCTTTTTTTACTAACCAAACGCAAATTTTTGTTTTGTTTTTTAAGTTTGGAGGTCATTAATGACTAAGAAAACAAACTTTTTGAATTTGATAGTAAAAATTTTCAGTACTATTAGCAAAACCCCACATACTTCTGTAAGGTTCAGGGCCATGAAGCTCCTTTGATCTTGCCCAATGTTGTGTGTCTTGTAACCAATCTGGCAAGGTCTGGGCAACCCACTGCATATCCCAGAGATAAGGAGTGAGGCCTCTACCCAACAGCCTCTCACTCTGGCACTGTCTACCACCTTCTCCCCTGTGGCCAGCAGGAAAGGGAGCAGATCCTCTCTCTCCCACCCTCTCTCTCCTGCTCAGTGTCAAGGTCCTTAGCATCTTCAGTTTGCACATTGTCTCATTCATGAAGTTGTAGTTGGCCGTTTGCTTCTTAGAAGACATGACCGCCTTGGAAGCAAACTATTAATCTGACTGTAGAGTTGGAGCCTTCAGAGATAACAGCAATCTGTGTGGTATGATTTGAAGAAGCCAGAAAAAAATTTTTTTGCTCTCCAGATTCCCGAAATTCCACCATTAGTATGAAAGGTGAAAGTGAAATGCCCAACTTTGAATGACCCATCCTGGGGACTCCTGCAAGTGAACCAGTGCAGAAAAGAGAAGCAGTGGATAAGAAAAAGGGCCCATAAAAAGAGGAGGTGTGTGAGACCAAAATCAAAGCTGGCTACACAATTTTGTTAGTGTGTGTTATACCTGGCCCATTGCCAACCATGGCACATAGTAGGTCAACAATATTTGTGGAATGAATGGATTCTCTTTTTTTCTACATTTGAGGAAGCAGACCCCACGCGCAAAAAAAAAAAAAAAAAAAAAAAAAAAAAAAAAAGCATTTGAGAGAAAAGGCAAAAGAACCAGTTCAATGAATGGGTTAATTTACTGTCCTAGGAGTCACTTACTGGGGGGAAAAAAAAAAGATTAAGCAGTTCCTCAGGACCCTCAGCAGCTCTCTGGGAGAGATGTTTCCCCTCTAAAGGGCACAAGAAACTGTCCGGAAGGCTGGAGCATCACCAAGGCTGAGTCAAACCCAAGACCTCACACGCCAAACGTGCCATCTTCGGCCTGGGGTTCCGGGTGTCTGGGAACTGGGGTGGGGGCTGACAGGAGAGGGCAGGCGCGGACGCAGAGTGCGCTAAGAGGAGGGGGCGCGGACCGAGAAGCGCAGCACGCTCTCCCGCCCGGCCTGCAGTGCTAGGCACAGCTCTTGCACCTCCCTCCGCTCTCTCCTCCGCCCCCCTTCGCCCTCCCCCTTTCCCTCCCTTTCTCCTCCTCCTCCTCCTGCCGCCGCGGCCGCTGCCAGACCTCGCCAGTTCAGACCCACCGGGCTGCCCTCCCCTGCGCTCTCCCCCTACTGCCCAGGCCCGGAGCGCAGCGCGGCCGCACAGGTAGGAGCCCCCGGTGCACCCGGTGCCCGCCGGGCAGCGCTAAGGGAAATAAGTGGGGTGACCTCAGGGGTGCAGGGGTACCCGAGAACTGTCCCAGACTGAGCAGGATCTCTCACGCAGGGAGGAAGGTGGAGGTGTGCGGTCTCGGAATGCGATCTGTCAGCATGTGCGAGTACCCGGGTGACATCTGTTTGGATGGGCAAGTGTGTGCGCGCCGACAATCAGCCGACTGGGCTTTGCCCATAAACGAGGCTTTGAAAGTTTCAGGGGGCTAATGTACGAGATTTAAGCCACACCTGGATTCCACAGGAGCTAGTTTGAAGCTGGAGCGCAGGGCAGCTCCCGGGTACTGCCGCATGTTGACTTTCTGTTGCGAGAGGGACCTCACCTCCCCGGGGGCAGGCCCGCTGCCCCGAAACTGGACCCGGCTGCGGTGCGGTTCCCCGGTTCTGGCCCTAGGCAGCCAGATTCTGATACCAAAGGACTGATAATGCGCAGAGAATCAGAAGCTGATTCTCCACAAACCTGGGGCTTTTACACAAAGCTGCAGGCAGAGAACTGGCGTGAAAATGCCACTTAGAGAGTTTGTGTTGGAGGATATAAGAAGGAACTCTGAAGGGCAGGTATTCTACTAGGGAAGGAGATTGCTCTTCGAGTTTTGTTTTGGTGTTTTGTTAAAAAAAAAAAAATAGCTTGAAGCCAAGGTAATTCATATTGATTCACAGGTATTTCAGCTGAGCTGTGCAAGGAACTTCCTTTACTAGCTGGAGGTGAGCACACAGGGAAAGCCTTAACGTTCAAGGAATCTGAGATTTGCTGCCCCACCTTCTCTCTCTCTCTCTCTCTCTCTCTCTCTCTCTCTCTCTCTCTCTCTCACACACACACACACACACACACACACACACAAATGCACCATCTCCTTTGAAATTAAGCACCCTCTCTTTTCTTTTCCACCCCCTTTCTGGAGCCTGTTGTGTAGGTACAGTATAAAATGCTTGCTGAATATCCTTTGTATATGTTAAGCGCAGCTGGATGGAGTAAAGTGAAATGTAATTCTGCAGCCGTTTTACAGTCTTTGGTGCCTCGTTTGGCCACGAAGGTTGAGGAGGGGGAGGGGGAATGAGAAAGTAGATTGGAAATTGGGTATGATGGAACCTAAACCTCTCCCTCCTGCCCTTCCTTACTTGATACTTCACAGCTAAACTTTTGTTATTCCGCCCCCCCACCCCTCCAGCAGATACTAAGCACCGGTTTGTCCTGTGTTTTCTTTGAGATTCATGATGTTGAAAGCCCTTTTCCTAACTATGCTGACTCTGGCTCTGGTCAAGTCACAGGACACCGAAGAAACCATCACGTACACGGTAAGGGGTGATGGAATTTGAGATAAGTGCGGTTCAGCGGGATTCAGTGACACAAGAGAGACTTTATCCACTCCTGCCAGTGTATGTGGGCTGTAGGCTGTGGAGGGTAATAAATTAAACAACACTTTAGTATAGTTCACATTTTAAGATTTATTTAAATTGCCCATGGTTCCTCCAAAAGTTCGTTTAGATCACCAATTGAGATAGGGAGCAAAATGTAATGATTCTGCAAAACCAAAAAAGGAGAGAGACCCTTTTAAAAACAAAAACCTAAGTAAGGTACATGTTTCCAAAACATGCAATAAATTAATGGAGGTAAGGAATTGGAAAGCCTGGATCCCTATATACAGGCAGATAAAAACAAACATCACAAAGAAAGCATGTGCCTCATTTGGGTGTGTGACTTATGTTCTCATGTAAATGGCCTGTATTGAATTTATAAAGGCTATATATTCATTTATAGTATAAATAACAATTCATATAAATGCCCTTCAGGTAAACTTTACGTGCTACCAGGATGCAGCATTGGCTAAAGTGGTCTTAAAATGCATTGTGTGAAATTTGGTTTTGCATTTTCTAATTAATTACATCTGATTATTTCCAAGTAATATTTGATTAATTAGTGAATTGCATGGGTATAACCAATGTTTAATAAAATATTGAAAACATCATCAGACCCATCCCACCATCAGGAATGAATGTGGTGAGAACAGAGGGCAATACTTAACCTCACTTCTGGTGAGTTTCTGTGCACCTCTGTTTTGTGTTTTCTTTTTGTTTGCTTTTGTTTTGTGTTTTCTACTCTTTAACCTGTGTTGTGAGACAAGTGGTATTTGTCCTGGATCGTAATATGAAAAACATATTTTTCTATTTTCTCCCAATTTAAAATTAAGTAATCCTACTCAAAAGAATGTGAAAAATTTTTGAAAATAAAACTCCTAAAAGTGAGCTAATGTCAATTACTGATAATAAGCATTATCTCACTTTTTGGTATCCTATTATCCCTAGAATGTTAGTATTCATCTGGAAAATGTTCCTTGTTGTTGTTCAAATCAACTATAAATCAAATAAGTTTTCAAATAAATATTTTGTTAACTTAATGATAAATGTAGTTGCTTCCTCTGCTGAAGATAAATAAAGCACATGAAATGATTGTTTATCTTCAAATGAGAATGTTTTATTATTCAGGCTAAACTTACTGCCTTCTTAGGAAGCTAGAATGAAGTTAATTACACATTTTTTATATTCATCCAATAAAATATTTTATTGCTATAATTGCTTGTCTTATACCCCCTTCTCTTTGGTTAATCAGCTAAATCACATTCATCTTTAGCAGAGAAAGTTCCTTGTGGATTAAACACTATAATTTTAGACCACTAACTAGGGTTTATTATTATTATTATAGCAGATTTTCCAGATATGACATCCTTTTTGTTTTAAGATTGGGTCTATTTTCTCTTGAACTGTGTATGCCTAATGATTCATGGTTAAAGAATAAGATGTAACTACTTTTTGAGTACCCCACTGTGGAGACACCATCTCCTTTCATTTTCATGGTGAAGTATGAGAGAAGTGGTATCATCTTCCTATCACCAATAGTAGAACCGGAGACCAGAGAGAGTATCTAACTTGCTGAAGGCTACACAGCCAGCAAGTGGTGAAGCTAAACTCAGTCCAGGCTTGTTTAATAGTAGATCCATATTAAATTTACTGGAACTAAATACCTAAAACAATCTGCATGTCTTCTCTAGTTAGCATACAGATTATTCAAGTGAACTGTCATTGTGCCTGACTTGAAAGGTAGAAGATTGAGCCCATATCCACAAGACAACCTCATATCCCCCTTCCATTTTAAAGTTAAAGTCTATTCAGCCATTTACTCACCAAGTACCTGCCATGTGCATAAGCAATTCGTACCACTAGCAAAAGAATTTAAGTTTTTTTTGTTTATTAGGAAAATTCAGATCTTCATCTTAGAGAATTTACCCTGGGAAAATATTGTTGAAAACTACAAAGTTCCTGAGCAAGTACAAATATTATCATTATATAGACTATATAAGTTGCTAAAGAAAGAAATAGAAAATCAAGGAAGCAATTAATGTCAGTACCGGCATATTGGAAGAGGTTGAGCTCCATGCTGAACCTTAATGGAAGTAATGACTTCAGATTAATCTAGAAAGGCTGAAGTGGCTCCTGAATCAGCGAAAGTGACATAATTAAAGTCTAGAGGTAAGAACAACCAAGACAAGTTGAGGAGATGTCAAGGTTAGATGGGCTGGAGCTGGGTAGTGGAGGGAACCTGCAGATGGCAGTAGTCAGAGTTGAGAGGTCTGCAAACCAGTGTGAGCTCTTAAATGCAGGAGTAACATAACCAAGACAGCAAGAAAGGCTGTCGTGGAAGCTGTGTGTGGCACACAGAGTTATGGAGACCTGCCAAGAGCGTTGCCTACTCATGAAGCCAAGAAGGCTTTCACCAACGTGGTAGATCTAGAAATGGACACAAGGTTGGCAGAGCTTGCAGGAGAACAGTTGGAAAAGTCAGTGTGGATATTAAGGTTGTAATCCTGGGTCCTAAGATAGGTGCAGTGCCTTGGACAGGTTGGGGAAACTAAAAAGAATTAGCTTAGAAGATAAAACGAGTTTAACTTTCACCCTGTGAAGTTTCAGATATCATTAAAATATTTAAACTGAGCTGTCTCCGTTCAGCAATTTACTTGCCAAGCATCTGTTGTGTGCATGAGCAACTCTCAGCTCTATTAAAAGATTCAAGTTTATTTGTTTGTTCACTGTACTTTTGCTCAATCTTTCCTGAAGCATCTCCCTCAAATCTGCATCTGGTCAAATGTTTTCCTGAGCTTAAAAATTGTGGAGAGAAAAAAAAAATAATTAAAAAAATTCTTCAGGGGCCTCTTATCACTTACAGCAGTGTTTCTCAGGAAGTAGCCTATAGGCAACCTGTGACAGGGTCACCTGGGATGCTTGTTAGGAATTCAGATTTCAAGCCCCCTACCCAGACCTACAGAATCAGATCTTTTGAGTCTGCATTTTAACAAGCACCCTGGGTGACTCTTAAGCTTGATCATAAAGCTTGAGTTTCATTGACATTCAAGATAGAATTCAGTTCTTGCCTACCCCTCTAACCTCATCCTCCCCCCACCCAGACTACTCCCAGTTCCTCTTTAACAATGTCACACCTTTGCTCACATGGTCCCTCACCCCTAGAATTCCCTCATTTTGCCTGGGAAGAGCATATAAGGCCCAATTCACTTATGGCCTCCCCCATAAAACTTCTCTGCCACCCTGTCATGCCCACACGCTACCCTGTATAGCATTCATCACTTCTTCCACATACATGCTTGTGTCACGGCACCTGACATCTTGCTCCAACTTGTCTACCTGTCTGTCTCTTCTGATCTGTGAGCTGCTTGAGAACAAGCACAAGGTCTTCATGACCTCTGCATCCTGAAGTACTAGAATGGTGGCTGGTAGGAGAAGGTACTCAGTAGATGGTTTGTTCAGTGATTGAACTAGAGAGGACCTGTAGGAATTGAAGCTAGGAGACAGGTCAAGGTATGAGTGCAAGACTTGGGACTCAGTTGAACAGGAATAAGGAAAGCCAGCTGCTAGAATGCTCTAAGACAATAGAGAGAGGAGGGGAAGTGTCAAGTTCAAGTGAAGGAAAAAAAGAACTTGGTTGTATCTATCTTTCTTCCTTTTGGTAAAATTTATAATGTGGAAGGAGGGCAAATAAAGCAAAAAGAGCATTCAGGGAGATTAGAGAAGATGAGTATCCTGACAGAGAAAAGAATTCCAACATGGTGATGGGCAATTGTTCTAAATACAACAGAAGTGGTGAGGCAGCTGGTGATTGAGAAGGGACCTCCTAAAGTGATCCAAAGCACAGATATGTCAGAAAGAAGAAAGAAAGAAAGAAAGAAAGAAAGAAAGAAAGAAAGAAAGAAAG